GGAGCATGAGGAGGAACTAAAACTGAAGAAGGCTAAACAAAAATTAACTGAAATTGCAATTAAATTTTTTGAAAAAGGTAGAAATTCTTTGGAATTGTTAGATATTTTTCTAAGGAAAGGAGCAGCTGCATATGATGCCATGGCTAAAACTTATGAATGATGGTTTGAGTAATAACATATTGATTTGCAATGTTTATGATTTTACTATATATGCTGTGATATTTCAGAAAGTGGCATCAAGAATACAAATTATATATATATATATATATATATATATATATATATATATATATATATATATATATATATATATATATATATATATATATATATATATATATATATATACTGTATATATATATATATATATATATATATATATATATATATATATATATATATATATATATATATATATATATATATTACATACTTACGCGGTTTTTTTTCATAACGCGTTTTATCATATACGCGGTGCCTCGCCAGAGCTGAACTTTCACTTAACACGGATTTTTTCCACATATACGCGGTGAGTGTCCGGCTCGAGACGCTATTTTTAGATTTGCCCCACCCGCCACCCTGCTTGACTGCCTGTTTTAGCTCATAAAATTCATACAAATTACCCGGCCAGAATATAATTTACATTGCTGGAATTCTTATAATTTGGTGATCATTTTGAATATAAACATCATATTTTTGCATTAGACATACAAATTTTAGATAAAAATTTTTCTCAAATTAACTATGTTATCTTTTGTGCAAAATATATGACATTTATATTCAAAATATTCCTGGTCTTACAAGGAATCCAGCAATGTCAATTATATTATCCTAACTTTAATCTGAGGTATTATTTAATACTAAATGTTAAAAACCCTGGAAGGGAGGATTGGTGGGGGGTGGGGGGGAGGGTTGGGACTGACCGCGCGGTTGGAAGAGGGGGGGAGGCAAGGTGGGGTACTTTGATTGACAGATAGTGTTGTGAAGATTATTTTTTTTTTTATTAACTGAAGATATTTGTTTTAGCTCATAAAATTCATACAAATTACCCGGTCAGAATATAATTTACATTGCTGGAATTCTTATAATTTGGTGATCATTTTGAATATAAACATCATATATTTTTCATTAAACATACAAATTTTAGATAAAAATTTTTCTCTAGGTAACTATGTTATCTTTTGTGCAAAATATATGACATTTATATTCAAAATATTCCTGGTCTTACAAGGAATCCAGCAATGTCAATTGTATTATCCTAACTTTAGTTTGAGGTATTATTTATTAAAATTTAGTGGTTTTCCCCCAAAAATTTCTCTGAGAGGGAAGAGCCAGCGAGTGTAGTGTGAGAGAGGGGGAGGGAGTTGAGTCCATTATTTGAATGGACATTAACTTGGCGACTGTATTTCTCTATTTCTCTTAAGTATTAATTGTGTGCATGTACCATCATAAAATTAAGATGTTATTTTTACTACAACATAGGTATGTGCCTTCAAAAAGTGGAGTTTGGGGGGCCGGTTTCTATTGGAATTAATCCCATATGTTCTGTTGTTCACTTAACGCGGACCCTCTGGGTTCAATTGACCCAAGTAGGTAACATATATATATATATATATATATATATATATATATATATATATATATATATATATATATATATATATATATATATATATATATATATATATATATATATACACATATATATATACACAGTGGGGTATGCTATAACGAACGGATCCTACTACGAATATTCCTATAACGAACGGTTTTACCTATAAAATTGAGAATGCTATAACGAACGAAACTCCTACAACGAACATTATTTATTTTTTTTTTTTTTTTTTTACTAATTTATTGTTTTTTTATTACAAGTATTAATGATATTCTTTATTTCAGGGGTTTAGATGCATATTTATGCACTTTTTTACAATTTTTACAATTTTATATTATATTTTTCAGTGTTAAGTGGTTGTATTTGGGGGCCTGGAACGGATTAATCCTATAATCTATAACAAGGTTCTAGGTTCTAGAACCAATTACAGTCGGCCCTTAACATACGCGGGGTTTATAACAGAGATATTCGTGGATGTTAAAAATCAGATTTTGTTGCTTCAAAAAAACCCTGGCCCCCCACGTCCTTATTTACCGTATATACTTGTGTATAGTTCGAGTTTTTAAAACCAAATTATTTGGCAGAAAATTGGGGGTCGACCTCTAAACGGGTAATAGTTTCGTTAGGTTGAAAAATATTTACCAGTAACTACCAGTAAACAATGGAAATGACACACCAACGCACCACCAGCTGTAAGTGTCGGTACAGTTGCCAGGGCAGATCTCATGCGTCATCATAACAAGCCCAGTAGCCAAATCCATGGTATGGTAGCACAGGACGATGTAAAACATAAAGTATTCATTTAATAAAGTTTATTTATAGATACTGTACATAAATTTTTGTTCGTTACATTTGATACATCAATCTTTGTTAATTAAAATTGAAACAAATGAAAACTACGATACCGTATTTTCATTAAAATATTACATCACAAGTATATTTTACCTTAACTGTGACTGAATGAATATATTCTCGGAAATAAATATGGAAATGTAATATTTTTGCTGGAATGACGTACATATTACAGTGGAAAGTGGGATAAAATCATGACGAAAACAATGACTTTCGCTTTCTTTCGTTGTTCAAAAGATTTTACCGTAATCGCTTTTTGAATGGTTTTCAGTTAAAAAACTGTTGTACTCGTACTGTATTACAATAATATTCTATCCTATCATTAGCCTTATAATCCCACAACTGAAAACCATTCGAAAAGCGATTACGGTAACATCTTTTGAACGAAAGAAAGAGAAAGTCATTGCTTTCGTCACAATTTTATCCCACTTTCCACTGTAATATGTACATCATTAAAGCAAAAATATTACATTTCCATGTTCTCAGAAATAAATTATAGTTTTGTTGAAACGTAATGGACAGTATTTAATATTAAAATGCAAAAATAGCTATAAAAACAATTAATACACCCGTAATGTACTGGCTGGCATCTCCACTCGTCCCTGCTGCCGCCAGTCACCTCCTCCCCGCTCTATCCCTCCGCCTCCTCCACATCGTCACTACTGGTGTATTACAATAATATTCTATCCTAATTCACTTGAATAAATACTACGATACCATATTTCTGAATATTTTCATTAAAATCCATCAAAATCATTTTCCTTGTCATCGTCTTCAACACCAAACAGCTCCTCCCAGTCTTCTCCTTGAACAGGGCTAGAGGGTACGTATTTTTCGAATCATTTTTGTTAGGTTCTGGATAATAAGTTCTACTGTATATACAGGAGCGAACACAAACACCTGTATAGTTTTGTAGGTTCGGTTTACTGGATGAGAGATATGTACACAAAGGGGAGTAGTGCTCTCCTCAGCTAGGCTGCCTGTCAACTGCTATAGACGACGTATGGCAAGTGATACATTAGCAGCTTCCATACGTCGCCAGGCACATTAATTAAGCATGTGGGATATGGTAATAACATTGCCACACGCTGCTAGCTAGGCTGAATAAATAATACATAAATGGAGCACATACATAATATACATACATAATATATAATCCAGCATTGAGGGTGAGCAGGGACACAAGAACGAAGGGGGCGTCCATACAAAACCTGGGCAGGGGAGCGTCCGGTGTAGTTAGGTGTGTTGCGGAGTTCAAGAAGACCCCGGTTGAAGGCCTCGCAGTCAATGTTCCCAGAAGGAGCCACCTTAAGGATGAGGTGCTTCAGGGATTTGACAGCAGCCTCAGCGTGGCCGTTGGACTGCGGGTAATGAGGCGATGACAACACATGCCGGACTCCCCATCGGTCAAGGAACACAGCAAAGTCCCGGCTTGTGAACTGAGGCCGTCCGTCGGTTCGCAGGCGTACAGGAACGCCCACGTCACGGAAGTAGTGGCGGAACTTGCTGATGGTGGCCATCTTGGACACAAAAGCAAGCGGGAAAATGACCCCTAAGTGCGTGGTGACAGTGAGCGCAAGACGTAAAAAAAAACTTTCCCCTTATTTGTCTCGTCACTGAGGCGCCGTGGAAGAATATAGAGGGACAATGTATAGTCTGTATTGCGTCTTTTTTATTGTTTTATCATTTATAAAGGTTAAAAATAATTTTTTTATAAGTTGATTTTTCTCGTTTTTCCACACGTTGGGGGTACGGCCGGCGCCACCCTAGCCCGGGGCGTAAGGGTTGAAACAGTCTTGTAGATCTTATGCTGCCAAATATTCATTTATATAACATATACCATGGCTGTGAAGGATCATTTGTTACAAGTGAACAACAGCACCAATTGTTCCCTTAATATACCTCCATTATTTGTTTTATTTATCTAATTCATCTTTCTGCCAACATTAGAACGGATGATTTGGATAAAAGTTTATGCACTTTTTCTTTTGTTACAATTTTCTCTTATGGCCAGGTTTACTGTTGGTGGTCCCAAACAAATAATGGGTGGGAGCTGGGACCTTACCTCCACCCTATGTTTCTTGTTTGTCTCTACATAACTTACCATAAGACTATGAAAGTTTTCTTACTATAATCAGTATCTTTACACATTATATAAATCATATGTTTGGTATTTTCCTTGTTGGAAACTAGTTCATTCTCTGTATAAAGATCCATGTTTTAATGTGAGGTCATGAAAATTGTTTTATTTGGCTGACCTAGAACAGATGGCAGTGTCAGTAATGGCTGCTCCTTGCTTCCACAACCGTAACTTTGTGGGGACTAATTTTTCACCTTAACGGTTCACATTTTAAGAAGAACTTAGAATCATATCCTCATATTTTTCTTTTATCAGGAACCAGGTTTGTGAACACAATATGAACCTGTATAAAGGAAAGTAGAGTTTTACTAATTAGTGTAAAGTACGGTAATGTATATTTATTTTATTATAACACAACATGAATGTAAGTATATTTTTGTATGTGGTTGGTAGACTCCTGGAGTGGTTATGGAGGAGGCACTTGGCGTAAAGGAAGAGTCCATAAGTTCTCTCGGTGCCTCGCTTGACAGCCACAACGGGTCACGAGGGTCTTGGGACACAGAGAGAAATCTGCCCCAGTCCAACACTCACTCATCCCTGACACCATTTACTGATGGCATAAAACAGGAAGACATCAAATTTGAGGTTAGTAATTTCTACAGTGTGATGGGCACATTAAGCCCTTGATTTATGCAAATTCTGTGTCACATAACAGTACTCTACTTATAAATGGACCAAAAGTGTGAAATAAATAACCCCTGGTCCAAGTAATGCAAGTTGTGTACTGTATTTTGTACTGAATTTGTAAAGTTTTTGTAATCCATGTTCAGGTCGAAGTGACACAAGAGTTTATAGCGGAGGAAGAAGCAGACACAGTGGCCCAAGACCCTGTAGTAAAAGAAGAGAAAGAGTTTATTGATGTGGACAAAGTTAGGATTGAAGATGAACATGTTGCACCAGAAGTAGATGGACTGTCTTGTGTCACGACCCCTGTCACTTCTTCCAGTTCACCGCCAGATCACCCATCTTCTAGGAAAGCCACTAAAACTAAGTAAGTAAAAAAAATAATTTATTTTTTATCTTATACGACAATCATCATTAGTAGAAAGAAGGTAGCTATAGGGGCAGCAGCCATCAGTTGTTTTTTGCACATATGAGAGGAGGGGAATACTTAGCTTCAAAGTGAATTTGTTTTAACATGGTACAAAGGGGAATAGGTTACAGACCCCTGTCCCAAAATTTAGTATAAATGAGTACTGTACTGTACTGTACTGTACTGTACTGTACTGTACTGTACTGTACTCATCAAATACAGGCTGGTTTTATGTAGACTGGAGGATGATAGTGGTGTAGGATGAGGTGGCCTGAGATGGCTACACAAGTTGCCATTGTTACATCACACACTGGTAGGGTTGCAAAGGAATGAAAAGTTTCTGGAAATTTATAAGGGCTGGGAATTTGGGTAATGTTCATATATTTGTCCATTTTTGCCAATTCTGAACACATCATCAAACTCTATATTGAAGCAGATTTTATTAAGCCGCGTACACACTGATATACATTGTTGTGCAATATTATCTCTGGACTGTATAGCGGCTGTCTCAAAAAATCCAAATTTTGAATGTTTCTTGTTTCCCATCCCATATGGGAGACAGTACAAAGCTGCTCAATCTGAATACATTTGGCAACATCGAGGATCAGTTGAGGTTCAGCTTGTGATCTGTGAGGTGGGTTTGGTGACATGCTTGGGAGCTTTTCTGGGAAGTGAAATAAACAAAGATGAAGTTATTTGTGATTTTTGTGGGGAAAAATTGAGACAAGGGGGGGGGGGGGGTGTTAATTTAAATATAAATAAACACTTGGAAAGGAAACATCCTACTACTACTATAATCACTTTACACAAGCTTGGCCCAGAAGCCGCGCCCTCATTTCTATTAGCGAGCTGATTGGTTCATATCAAATGTTCGTTTCGCTGTCTATTTATTCATACTAATGTGTTCATTACTTATTATCAGACCTATTCTTCTCTATAATATTGTTAAAAATTACGAAAATAAAAATGCAAATGATTTTAAGGCATTAACACATCAAAGAGGATGTTAAAAATGTTAAAATATGTATAACGAACGGTCGGAGTCAGACAAAAGTTGCGCTCCGATGAAGCCTATCTATTATTTCTTTGTTTTGTAGCCGCCCTAAGCCAAAGAAGACACGACGTTCCTTAAGCTACGAGGTGAAGTACAAGATCATCCAAGAGTTGGAGAAAGGAACAAGACAGGTTGATTTGGCGCGCCAGCATGGTGTGAACGAATCTACGATCCGAGCGATAAAGAAGGATGCAGCCAAGATCAAAGAGCACATGAAAATCACAAAGTCTGCAGGTGCTTCATCTATCAGGTATTGCCAGAACAGGGTGCTGGCAAAAGTGGAAAATTTGCTGGTGAGTTATTTGATTCGTCAGGCGCGACGCAACATGGCGGTGGACACGCGCTCAGTGCAGGAGTACGCACGTGAGCTATACGCAGCAGTGTCACGTAAGCTGGGAATTGCAGAGCCCAAACCCTTCAATGCTTCCTCTGGTTGGCTGCATAGGTTTAAGAAGAAGAACAAGATCACCAACATCAACATTGGTGGTGAGGAAGCGAGTGCTGACCGTGTGGCGGCTAGAGATTTTCCTCCGTTCTTACGTGAGATTATGGAGGAAGGACAGTACACTGACGACCAGGTGTTTAACATGGACGAATCTGGTCTTTTCTGGAAAAAGCTACCTTCCAAGACCTTCGTTGTCCAGTCTGCCAGCAAGGTAAGGGGTCGGAAGTTGCAGAAGGAACGCATCACCGTCCTGTTTACCACCAATGCCTCCGGTACCTGTAAACCAAAGTTATCGGTGATTCACACAGCCCGCAAGCCGCACGCCTACAAGAATATGGACATGAACAAGCTTAATGTCCACTGGCTAACCGCACGTAAGGCGTGGATGTCCTCTTCTCTGTCCCTCTTCTGGTTTGACAACTGTTTTGTTCCCGACGTGAAGAAATTCTGCGAGCAACAGAATGTTTCATTCAATATTTTGTTGCTCCTTGACAACGCACCTGGACACTCGCCCCTACTTATGGATCGTCACCCCAACGTAAAAGTGGTCTTCCTTCCTCCCAACACTACGTCATTAATCCAGCCCATGGACCAGGAGTTGATCTGCAATGTTAAAGCTGCGTACTCTGCAAAGAAGTTCAAGCTCCTGAACGACTCTACCAACACCAAGGATGAGTTGCGTAAGCTGGGTGACACCGACAGCGAGAGCAAAAGCGACGAGGACAAGGAACAAGAGGCGGTGACTCAAGAACTTCTCGTCAAACAATTTTGGAAGAAGTTTAACGTTAAACAAGCTGTAGACTTCTTGGTGGAGGCATGGGATCTGCTGACTATTGCTACGATTCGTCACGCATGGAGACATGTGTTGCATGGCATACCAGGTGAGAGGAGGAGTGAACCTGTGACTGGTGAGGTTCAGACTGTTGCAGTAGCAGTGGACCTTGCCAGAGAAGCTGCGCTCAATATTACAGCTGAAGGCTTCTCCGAGACCACCAACGAAGACATCCTGGAGGTGATCAGAGATCCTGAAGTGACTGCCGACGAGATGTTGGAAGAAGAACACGTCAGTGAAGAGGAGGAAGAAGGTGCGTCATTCTCCGAAGAACACAGTTTAAGTCATAGTGATATTAAGTGTGCCATAGAGTGTGCAGAGAAAATGAAGTCCTTCCTTTCCCGCGACAATGACGATGACCGCTATGAAGTCTTCCATACCCGGCTGGTGCAGGCTATGGAGCCGTACATCACGGTGTACCAAGACAACATAAACACCAGCCGTCAAAAAAGCATAACCGAGTTCTTCGCCCGCAACCCACCACAGCCAGCCCAAGCCAGTGATTGTGACAGTGAAGTTGACTTTGAGGGATTTGTCAGGGAAGCCCTGACAACTGTAAGTGACAGTAATGGTGATTCACCTAGTAATGGTGATTCACCTGAGGGCCAGTAATCTGCCCTCTGCCTCGGAACCAGCCTCCATCCCCGTATGCCGACCCATCTCTTCTACTACCGTAAGTGTTCCACCTAACTTTTAGTTTCTCTAACGTAACCTTTATTTTTCCTATGTTAACCTTTATTTTTCCTAACCTAACCTCTTCTATATTACTTGTTTTTTCATACCATCATAAAGTTAAGATAAAATTTTTACTACAACATAGTTATGTGTCGTCAAAAAGTGGAGTTTGGGGGTCGGGCTGGTTTCTATTGGAATTAATCCCATATGTTCTGTTGTTCACTTAACGCGGATTTCACTTAACACGGGACCCTCTGGGTTCAATTGACCGCGTTAAGTGGGGTACAACTGTATATGTACAGTAAATGATATTAGTCTGTTCTGCATCCCATTTGCCCATTGACATTGGTGATGAAAGCATGATAAAAGCCTATGCTGTTGCTATTAATGTTTCTACTGTATACAGCATTTATTTTCTTCTGTTTCTTTCAGAACTAAAAACAGAGATATAGAAGACCGAAAGAAGCTAAAGGTACGTGTACACTGTAGACTTTTTAGCTAGATTTGCTCTAGCTAGAGCTCTTTAAATAGTGTAAACAGAAGTGAGAGCGCTCTAACTACAACTAGTCTCCGATCTCGGTAGGGTTGTTGTAGTGGACACGAGGTGGAGAGCAGGTGCTGAGACTGCTCTGGGTCTGTTTGTTGATTTAAATAGATTTCTTTCTTCTATCTAGAGAACTGCTTTACCACGCGAGTAAAATGTCGTCCAATGAAAGATAGAAGTGGGATAGTGATATGACTATATTATTAATACAACAATATGAAAGGTTCCCAGAACTGTGGAATGTGTCGTTGATGGAGTACCGCAATAAAGAAAAGAAGGCAAATGCTTTAAAAGAAATAACAAAGATATTAAATATTCCCGAATCAGAAATCACACGAAAGTGGCACAATTTGCGTTGCCAAATCAACAGCGAAATGAGAAAATAAAAAAAAAGAAAAGTGGCATCGGGGCTGATGATGTGATTTTGAAAAGTACAGTCGGAAAACATAATCTCTAGCCCACTTGGGTCGATACTGGAGGTTAGTACAGCGTCCTTTCTGGACGGGGGCCCCCACTAACTATCACAAGGCAACACATGCATGAACACACACAGTTCTTATGAATCATCTTGCTGTATATAATGCTAAGCAGTCATAGTACGACTGTATAGATGACATTATGTATAAGTATTGTATATGGCATTTTATATTCTGCATTATCTTCATTATATATTAACACGAAGAAAAATTACCATAGGTTGTAGTTACGAAAGTATGAATGGAAATAAACACTTCCAAACCATCCAGTGAATCCACACAACGTTTACAGCGCTTGTGTGTGTGTGTGTAGCATCGGGCGTCATCCTTAGTAATGAAGGTTAATATAAAATTAGTTCACATCCGAGACAGTTCAGATATAAGTTGGTCTGCGCCTAGTGCCAGACCACGATGCTTCCCATCATTCGCATAACTATATGAAAAATATTGTTTAATTGAACTACATATTTCAAATACCTTAAATTACATGTGGATCAGTCACTCCTCATTTGACACACTTATAGTGTAATACTTTGACCATCCCACCTGGGCACATGGAGGCCCACGGTAACTCTCACGGGGCAACATACGCACGAACACACAAGTTATGATATGAACCCTTCCAGGCTTCACTATCATTATCATGTTATGTCCATCGTGCTCTGTATCTTGGCAACTAGTCATAGTATCAATACACGGAGGAAAATCTATATTAATATACTGTAATATTGCATTTTATTGCAAACCGTAAAAAATCTTGCTAAACCATTGGATGTGAAGGAAAGCACCACACACTGGAGTTACGAAATGAAGATGAAATGAAGAACCGACCTGAACGTGTGTAGGGAGGCCTGCCGTTTCAGTGTGGACATGGTTGCTCAAAGGGTAAGTCGTATAATTCATCCTTGCATTGGTTGAGAAGAGTTTAATATATATATATATATATATATATATATATATATATATATATATATATATATATATATATATATATATATATATATATATATATATATATATATATATATATATATATATACATGTATATATATATGCTGAGTATATTAGGGGGCAGTGAAATTTTGCTCAAAGCTGCACTCTTCAGGCATTGTTCCTTATACATATCTAAGACTCCATGCCAAATTTGAAGCTGATATGTCGAGGTTTAGTCTGCCGCATTTTCTACTGAAATTTTTGAATTTACCTACAGTACTAGCCAAACAGCCGCTGTGGCGGTGCAATGTTCTGTTCAGTGTTTATCAACTTTTTTTTCATATCTCTTATTTCATTTAAGTTGCCATTGCTACTGCCACCTTAACTGACTGGCATTATCACAAAGGATGACAAGAGTCAGGTTATTGGACCACATAAGCTGCGGGATGCGAGACAAAAATACCGATTTAAGAGGCAAGAAATTGAGATGGCTAGTTTAGATAATTTGACGTCACTCTATTTTGATGGTAAGAAGACCGCCACTCGTGTGATGATAAAGAATGAGAAGACCGAGAAATGGAGTTCGAGGATGATGGTGAAAGATCATTATGTCATCATGGTTGAGCCTGGCAATGAATATCTCACACATGTGACTCCCAAGACTGGACACGGAAAGCAGATTGCCAAAACTATTCACGAGTTTCTGGTGGAGAAAAATCTAACCCAGCAGCCCATTGTGTGTGTTGGTTGTGATGGAACCAATGTAAATGTAGGATCAGAAAATGGAGTCATTCATCATCTTGAAATGTTACTTGGTCACCCGCTCCATTATTTCATATGTCAGCTTCACGGAAATGAGCTGCCTTTCCGCGCAGTTTTTTATCACTATGATGGTAAACCAAGTGGTCCTGAGCATTGGCGTGGTCCCATTGGAAAGCAGATCAAGGAGTCTTTGTCTGAGCTTCCAGTTGTCGCCTTCCAGCCAGTCAGTTTCCCTGATTTCCCTGTGTTTAATGATGAAGTGGAGAAAGATCTGTCCTGGGATCAGAAATACCTGTATAGGATTTGTAAAGGAGTTATCACAGGTGTTGTTGAAGATGACTTGGCTGCTATTGAGCCAGGTCCTCCCTGTGTGTCAAGGTGGAACACCTTATGGAGTAGAATCCTCAGGCTGTATGTAGCAACATCAAGACCCAGCCATGAGTTGAAAAGAATTGTCATTACAATAATAAAGTTCAGTGCTCCAATGTGGTTTTACATCAAGATACACCCTTACGTAACACACGGCTCAAGGAACGTATTCCAGTCCCTGCTATATATGAAACACCTGAATAGTGAGGAGGAGACGATAGTGAAGAAGGCTGTCCAGAGAAATGCATACTTCGCCCACACAGATCAACTTCTTCTTGGTATGTGTGCAGATGAGGACATGACTGTTAGAGAAAAAGCTGTCTCAATGATAAGAAAAATTAGAGAGGAGAATCAGCAAAAGGAAGAATGCACTGGCAGATCTGAAGAGGAGGAGGAAGATTCTGATGCTGCTGTTGACGAGAATTTGTTAAACTATACTGATGAGGAGGGTAAAGATGGAGATGGGAATGAGGATGTGCCTCCTGTAGTCAACATGAGAAAGGTGGTGACTCCGAAACTAAAGTGGCAAGCAAAAAACTATCATTCCATGATTAACTGGAGGAATGAACTCAAGACTGAGCCTCCTTACATTGCTTCTCTGTCAAATCTACAGGTTAATGACATTCTTGAGACACCATTAGTGGTGCCCAAGTGGCCAAACAGCACTCAGGCGGTCGAGAGAGGCATAAAAGTGATGAGTGAAGCTTGCACTGAAGTGACGGGATACGAATTGAGAGATGGATATATTAGGCAAAGATTATTGTCTAGGAAAATGATGCCAAGGTTCCGCACAAAAAAGAATTTCAATATGAACTTGTAATGATTTTCTATACGGTGTACCTGTAAAATAACATGTGAATTAAATCGATGTCACCCATGTAAAATTTATCATTACCCTGGAAAACATTAAATGACACCTAATTTTTGGTATACACTAAAAGTTGACAAAAAGTCGTTCGCGATGCGGCAGGGTAAGTATGCATGAAATGGCATGAAATTTTGCACAGGTGTTTGTTACAGCCATACAAACGATGCCTGAAAAGTGCAGCCTGCAACTCAAATAAAAGTGTTTTTTCCCTGCCCCCTATTGTATATGTATCCATTATTTTCTATAGAAATGGCAAAAATTTTCTGTATATGTAATGTATTTCATGGGGCAAAGGGAGGCTGGGGAACGTAACTCCCGTATTTTTTCTGTTTCTTAAGGGGAAAATTGATCCGCTTAACGTTGTTTCGTATAATGTCGCATTTTGAGGAACGTAACCCCGACGGTAAGCGAGGACTTACCTGTACTGTATACCATTAAATTTTAAATTCCTTTTTACTTCCAGACAATTATTCCAGTGCACTGACATTTTTCTGGTGGTCTTGGTGCTGTACTCCTATTCACTCCAATGTTCATCAGCCATTAAGCATGTGGTTGTTGGCAGTGCAGGACAATAGGGCAGCTAATTGAGATGGGATGAGATAGAAAGGCCGATGTAAGGCGGGGCACAGTCAGGATGATGTAAGGCGGGGCACAGTCAGGATGATGAAAGGCGGGGCACAGTCAGGATGATGTAAGGCGGGGCACAGTCAGGATGATGTAAGGCGGGGCACAGTCAGGAAGATGTAAGGCGGGGCACAGTCAGGATGTCGAGATACTGAGAAATTTTCAGGGTTGGGCAGAGTGCTTGGACCAGGATGGGTAGGGTCATTCAGGTAGGGGCAATATGGTAACCCCACAACTCTTACTTTCTTACTGCAGAGTACAGGAAGCAACGTGGACTTTGGCACGTATTTTTTCACCAACAGAGCTTCGATCATTGATACCACAATTTACCAGCAACACTGAAAACTATAACTAACATGGAATCAGGATGTGCAGGCATTAGCTCATGCACATTTATCTAGCGATCCTGGGATTGTGGGAAAACAAATATATATATTATGTGGCTTATCTTACAATTTAATAAATTTTTTGAGTTAATCAGCCTTTACCTACTTGCTACCTCCTTGATTGACATACATGAAATAAAGGGAAATATCAATAATTGTTGTATTATGTACAGTACTACAGGATAATTTTACCAAATATTTTTGTTGACTGAAGTTCAGTACCACTGTATCGGTACTGCCATCACCCTCGTCCACATCATACCCCTTCAATGCCAGAGTGGTGCACGGGTCACACACACTAACTCCAATTCTTTGTTGAGTAGGTCTTTGTAACGAACCTGTCTAATCAAATGCTTTGGAGAAAAGTAACAGAGACGTAACCGATCGCCCAAGCGGGTAACGAGCCGATCAGTGGTGAAGAGGATAAAATGAAAAATTAATCTTCTTCTTTTTTCCCCTTAAATCTCTCATGGCTACTGAGTTCTCTCCTTCTCTCGGTCTAGTTGCTTC